CTATTTCGGAGTCGTTTCTGATATCTTGTTCTGATGTTACATGTCGTGGAATTGGGGATGGGGGTCGTCCAGAAGTTGCTGCTTGTTCGAAGACGTCTGCGTTTCAAGGGATGCGGCAGTAACAATCTTGTCTACACCCATTCCTCAAAGCCCCTTTTGGTCAAAGAGCACTAAGACCCACAACCGAACCTGGTTCAGGTCAAAAAAGGCTAGATGTTGTCCGACACCGGTCCATGAGGCAAAGTAACCTGTCATTGTCGCATGCAGGTCTTCGGTAGCTTCCCCATACGATCCGTGCTACTTTCGCGACGACGCTTTGCTCTTCTGGCGGAACCGGCGGGTGTTATTTCCGGGACAGTTCGTGCCGTTAACGGACATCGGACTCGGCTGGCCACCCTGTCCACTCGTTCGTAATAGGCCGCCAGTCTGTCAGCGAGACGACCACCAGCTCTAAATGACTCTATGCGCAGACAGCACGTGAGCAGGTTCTCTACCGCCTTTGCCACTCCGTCATCGTCCAGTAATGTGGCCCCAATTGGCCCTGAGAAGTAGTGCTGCTTTCGTACCCATTTTCTAGAGATCTTCTGCATCACAAAGAATTCGTAATGAAAAGGTACGCGCTTCAGATATCCGAGCTCTCTCTCCGACATATACCACGTTGTCGTTCGGTTCTTTACCTGAAAAATCAGAGCCCCGAATTTTGTAACGTCGAATTGTTCGTCTTCTCCTCCCATCCAAATCGGTATAACGAAATCCCACACTTGTTGGTTTCTTGTGCCAATGCCACCGGCTCCTCTAACAAACAGCTCTGCCAAAATCGTTGGTGTCAAGTCTGTGCCGATCCGAACGAAATGGTTAAGGTTCACAAGGCTGTTCAAAACACACGCGTTGGCCTCAGATGCTAATTTCCGGCCAACAAGTCTAGTGATCAAATCCTTGCCAGACCATCGTTTCGTCGCATCGACACATAACAGAAGGATCAGCCTGGCTGCAACTTCACCGTTCTCACCCTCGTTGACAAGGCCCATTTGCACAGTTCCAGCGACCGCTTCGAGCACTTTTACCACCTTGTCCGGATGCCGAATGTTAAAATGCGAGGCCAGTAAAACTTTGCTCACATACGGCTCGGATCTGTAGTCGATGCAGTGTCGAAGCCGATCGCTATCCATCGCGAGGAGAAACGCCGAATGAAAATTAACCAACCTTTCAGCAAATGTAAAAGTCGGCG